GTCTTTGTTTTGTAGCTCATCTGAAACCTTTCCACCATGGGTGACCCTGCTGGTTATTTAAAACACCGGTGGCATAGCCCTCAGAATCACAGCAACTCAGACCACCACAGCACGACAGACAGACGAGTGGTGGCTGTTTGGTTAGGCGCACCTTAGTCCTCAAACTGACATCTTTATCTTTCCAACTTGTGCAGCAGATTTGCCTATTGCAATACGTTGGTTGAGATCTGCTGCTTCTATGGGCGTTCATGGCAGAGGCAAGCACATGAAGTCTTTGACACCTTCAATCTTTACTCCACTTTTACAGCATGTTTGCTCCAGTGGTGAGGACTTTTTTTTTTTTTTCACACTGAGGTGCAAACCTGACTGAAGGTTGTAGTGTGTGATTTTCATCAGTATTTCCAGTCCTCTTCACTTTCAGCAAGCAAGGTTGCATCCCTCAGGCTGTTAATGAGTCCTCTAATCCTGATGCCATATTCTTCTTCATGTAATCCGGCTTCTTAGATGAGTTATTTGCTCAGCATACAGACTGAACAAGTAGAGAGAATAGTATAGTATACTATGGTGCACAGTTTCCTGATTTTAAGCCCTTTGGTGTCCCCTTGTTCTGCTCTAACAACTGCCTCGTGGTCTATGTACAGGTTTCTCATGAGCACAGTGACGTGTTCTGCTGAGGTCTGGTGTCCCATGTGCATTTATGTTGTTGAAAAAGGTATTTGAAGTGAATAAGTCAGTGGTGTTGCAGAATTCTATCATGTGATCTCCAGTCTCCTGAAGGCCACCCTTCCCAACAGAGCCTTTCTAGTTGACTCCAGCTTTCGCGTTGCAGTCATCAGTAATTACTAGTGCATCTTGATTGCATGTGTGATCAATTTTAGACTGAAGAAGCTGGTGGCTGTTATTAAGTATTTTCAGGCCTGTTCTGACTTATAGCAGTTCTGAGAAAGGGCTGGTGGATTTGAACTGCCGACCTTGTGGTTAGCAGTCCAATGTTTATCCTACAGCACTACACCAGGATTTCGATGAAGTTCATAGAACTCTTCAATTTCATCATCCCTGACTGTAGTGAGTGATGCGTTAATTCGGTGTATATAGAGGTATTAACTGGTTTTCTTGGTTGGCTATGGATGTATCTTAGCACAGATAGCATTGTACTTCAGGTTAGATCTTGAAAACCTCTTTTGACCATGAATGTGACACCATTCCTCTTTTTTTTAAAAAAATATTTTATTGTGAATTATGTGATAGTTTACATGGGAGAACATTAGTTTTACATTCATTCTATCGTATATCGTTTCATTGCCATGGTTACAATCCCCTCCATGCATCATCACCCAACCAAAGGGTA